TGCGAAAGTCACGTGCAATTGACGTCCACCTACGTGATAATCACGTGAATGACGCAAAAACCGATACTGAAGCGGCGATAGACTGGCAATTGGTTCTGATTTTTTCTTTGGACTTGTAGTAGTTGGTGTGAGGCTGCTCTAATCGAGTGGCTGCTGCGGTCGCTAATGACACTTTTCAAATGTTTTAGTCGGCGTCACGACGCGCCGGTCTCACTTGCACGAACTGCCAAACGGCCCAAACCTCCTTATGGAGACGAAACGCCCATGGGGAGCCGGTTTGCAACGCTTGCGGCCTCTACTACAAATTACACATGGTGGCGCGGCCATTATCAATGAAAAAAGACACCATCCAGGTAAGTGGGGAACGCAGCTGACGCCCACTGGGGACTAAAGCCGGTCGTTTTGCAGACGCGAAAGCGAAAACCAAAGGGGAGCAAATCGGGGCAGGCGAACGGCAATCCGGCCTCAAACCGAGCGGGTCTGAATAATCGGGGCAAATCGACCGTGAAAATGGAAAACAACTCGCTTGGTAAGATGATGGTTTGACGCGTCAACGTCAATGTCAACGCCACTAATTGATTGATTGCAGATTCCTTCAACCTGTCGCATCTACAGCAGACGAGTAACTTTGTCTACCCCACTCAGCCGCACGTGAAGCTCAGTCCGTACTCTTCGCACTCTCCCCAGAATCTGGCGCATGACTACTACGGGACGATGTTGCCTCAAACGGCCACGCCCAGTCCTCAATCCCATTCGTCTGATCTGCATTGCGACTCGCCGCACTCTCCTCTATTGATCAACAACAACAACAATAACCATGCGAAAATCAGCGAGCACAACTTGGATCGAGTATCAGTGGTGTCGCTGACCAAGTAGTCTTGTCAGGTTCTACCCGTACAAAAACCTTTATAGTGATTGATGTGATTCCCTGCGGCACGCCACTGGACCTTGCGGGATCTCATGCTCATGCCAAATGTATGAGCGTAAATTTTATACTCTTTGTTTGACGAGATTGTTATTTAGGGAACGAATGTACTTAGTGTTGATGACAGAAAAATGCTCTCTTGCCAATCCGCAATACGTAAAACCGGAGGGAATACGTTTTAAGGTTAGGACACGCAAACACAGCAACGCTCAACTATCTACCGCTAGTTTAAGTACAAATGTTTTTTTGTATATATTATACGATAGTAGAGATCTATTTAGTTAAGGATGGGTAACCAAAGAATTTGATAATCAAATCCCGCCTATTAAATGTATCATTTCTAGGTTACGACCGCGTGGTGCCCTTTGAATCGACATCTTGAACTAACTAATTAGTTTTATATTCAAAGGTGGTGCCACGGTTTTACTTGGTATATGCGGTTCATTTTGTTCTGTATGTTGGCCAAAGTGTTAAATCACCAACCTCAAAATTTAGAGGTTAGACCAGCTTGACATGAATGGCAAATTGTCAATAGAATTGTACGTTGTGTAACCGTAGAATTAAAATTGTATTCAGTTATTTCCTATACAAATTGTACAGTTTATTAATGAAGAGTTTTTTAATACTAGCGTAATGTTTGTTACATATTAATATAGTTTTCAAAGTTGCAATCCGGTCTTTTTTTGCCACTTCGATTTGTGCCAACACTCTTTTTAGGATGCGCGCATGAAAGAACCGATAGCGAAGCGCCATGTAGAGGAATTCCGAGTAGATCCGGGGTCTGCCATCTTGAATGATTTAAATGTTGCGTGTCATTCAAGGTGTTGCGCCGTGAGGCGCGAAGTGTTATAACGCATTGGCGCACAGCGGTATCAACAAAACTGCGCCACAAGCACAGTGTTACACTGGCGTGTTTCAATGGAGTTAGCGAGTTATAACTCGTCGGTTAATGAGTTTTTAAGTCGTTTATTAAAGCTTGACGACCCCCGAGACTAGAATTTTCACATAAAAAAAGGTCATCGACATTTTTTCTGAGAAACGTTTTACTACTTTGTTCAGACAACTAAAAAAAGTCGTCTAGATTTTCCCAGCAACAGAACTGAGTCAAAAGGAAGTCGACGAGTTTTCTTGTAAAATCGATCTCTTAATTTTTTTGCATAAAAGATTCTGTTTGCCAGTATTTTACAGTAAAACGTTAGGAAAAACGCGGTTTTCTGTTTAGAGACAGTGTTGTTTAGAAATACTGATCTAAAAGTGAAGAAACCCCAGTTTTCCAAATAAATGATTCTAAACTTTCGCTTTTTCAGTTCGGGGAAATATAAAAAAGAATTGATTAACGTTTTGTCGAAAATTTGAAGCTGCAAAAGGTTTTCTAAAAGTGTCTGCAAAGTGGTTAAGGAGGCGAATGATCCAATAAAATTATCTTATAAGTTCACAGAAAATACCTGAAGATTGTCAGTATTTTAAGTAAAACTAGAAATCAATGCAATTTTTGCGTCGAAAGAATCGCTTAATGGAAAATTTAAAGCAACTTTAAAAATCTTCATATCGATGAGGGCGGCGGATTTTCCAAATAAGTTTTTGTAAACTTTTGCTCTCTGGTCGTGTTTTTCAAGATGATCCTAACTACTTTCGGTAAAAAACTGAATAAAATAATTTGGTTTTAGTGCCAAATTCGAAGCTGAAAATGGTTTTTCTCAAGTTCTCTGCACACCGATGAATGAGGCGAATTTTCCAGCAAAATTAATTTCGTAATTTTTGGCTGAAAAGACCCCATTACTGTCAGCAGAGAAGAAAATCATCAGAAAATAATAGCTTTTTGCGTTTTCTATTCAAAATTTTTAGTTTTGTGATCGGTTTTGGAGAAAACCTACGTTTTTTTGATAGACAATTATTTGGTTTTTTTTCCAAATTTGAAGCTGGAAAGGGATTTATAAACTTTTTACAAAGCGACGAAGGATAGGATTCGAAATTTATTTCATAATTTTTCGCGCAAAATACCTTAACCTACAAATACTTTAACCTACAAAATACCTTAACCTACAACTGGGAAATTTTGAAAAAAAAAGATTAATAAACGGCCCTTAAAATAAATCTAAAGACAAGTAAAAAAATAAACTGTGTCACTGCGCCGGCGCGTTGTGTTGGCGCACCAAGCCAGTTGTGTGGCACTGCGCCAACTCCTAAGAGTTACACAGGCCTACTCAGAGATATGGGGAAAGATTCAGTTTGAGTGTCAATGGCATGGATGCAAGAAACCGTTTAGTAGGCCTTGCTGTAAGAGTCCCAATGTGTAAACAGCTGCACCAATGCATAAGCAGGCCTAGCAAACAAATGATAAGCTCATGACGAGCGGTGCCATCATAGTGGCAAGCGCTGGTGCCATTTGCGTCAAATTAACGAGGAATTTGGGTCCGAAACTGTTGCTAAGTTGGCTTAGATGCGTAAAAAGGGACCAGATTTAGTCAGTTCTGATAAAAGTGAGACACAACGGCAACAGTGGACAGAATACTAAATTTTTGCTGGTATTTCGGCAGCAACTAGTGCAGTGCTGGCAGGAAAAATTGCAAAATTCAACTGTAATTTAAATTAAAAAAACTAACCAGATGTCTGATGGTGACCCAAAATCGAAACTTTCACAGTTGACATAATTGTCCAAAAAAGGCGAAGTCTCAGCATCGTTTAGCGGTAGAGAATTCCCCACAAAATGTTTGAAGATGGCAGCCAATCGAAACTTTCAACCTCAATGCAACCGATTTTGCTCAATAAACTACATTTTTTTAGCTACGAAGGAGTTAATAATTGTCAATGGTATCTATGTTCCAAGCAATCGTGCAAAAAATTGTCATTTTGAAAAACTCATTATACAATGTCTGATGATGGCACACAACCGAAATTTTCAGAGTTAATGAAATCAGGTTTTCCCTATAAAATGCAAAATGACGCAAGACTCTACATTGATCAGCTATAGAGATATAAATTTTCAAGTAAATGGATGTACCAAAGTTCCATGCTAAAAATAAGCCACATCCGAAAATTCGCCAGAAAATGTCTGCAGGCAGAAAATGATGGCAGGAAATTGAAACGTTCACAGTTGAAAGATGCGACCTTGGTCTATAAGATGCAAAAAGTCACGAATCGCAGCATTTTTCAGTTATGGAGAAATTAATTGGCGATTCCACAAATGACGAATTTTTTATGCTTAAAATGAGACGCTTTGAAAAATTACCCACAAAATATCTGATGAGAGCAAAAAAGTTACACTTTTGGGCTCAAAACCACTGATCTTCCTCTACAAAATGCAACAAACCGAAAGTTCCTCCATTGCTCAACTATGGAGAAAGCGCTCAACCAATAACATGAAAGTTTCAAACTGAACATGCGAGTTAGCTTGCAGGATTTACCGCGAAACGTCTGATGATGGGGCAAGAAATCGAAACTTTCAGCGTTCATTCCTTACTCTATTAAATCCCAGTAGAGGCCAGCAGCTACATGGTTTAGCAATTTATGAAGAAATTAATAATTTTTAGTGACAGGTGTGTTCGAAGCTTTCGTGCGAAAAATATTGGAAAATTCATTATATGATTACCTGAAGATGGCACAAAATCGAAATTTTTACAGTTGGTCGAACCGACCTTTCCCTATAAAACGCAAAATGGCGAACGGTTTTACTATGAAAAAATTCAGTTGCAATTACACGAATGCACCAAAATTCCATGCAAAAAATGAGTCACAATTAAAAATTCTCCGGGTAATGTCTGATGGTGACCGGAAATTGAAACTTCCACAGTTGAAAGACGCGATCTTCCCCAATAAATTACAAAATGGCGAAAGGTCCTACATTGTTCAACTATACAGAAATTAATTTTCAATTATTTGAGTGGACCAGAGTTCCATGCTAAAAATAAGAAAATTCAAAAATTCGCCAGGAACTCTCTGATGTTGACCGGAAATTGAAACTTTCACAGTTGAAAGACGCGATCTTGGCCTATCAGATGCAAAAAGGCTCAACGTCCTACATTGCTCAGGTATGGAGGAATTAATTGCCGATGGAACAAATGAACGAAAGCTCCCGGCTGAAAATGACGTAAATTGAAAAATTACCCCAAAAATATCTGAATAGAATAAAAAATCGTCAGTTTCTGACTTGTTAGCACTGATCTTCAGTCTTATGCACGTTCCTAAAATGCAAAAAACCGGAAGTTCCTACATTGGTCAGCTATGGAGAAATCGCCTACTACTGACTTGAATGTGCCAAAGTTTCGAACTAAAAATGAGTTGGCTTGCAGAATTCATCACGGAATGTCTGATGATGGCAGGAAAGTGAAACTTTCAGGGTGGAAACAAGCAACCTTCCTGTTTAAACTTTAAATAGGTACAAGTCTGTACATGTTTTGACTGACTCTGAGAAATTAATTATCAATTGCATGTGTGCACAAAACTTTTATGTAAAAAATTAGTTCAATTGAAAAAATCCGCACAAAGGGTCTAATGAGAGCTCTAAATCCAAACGTTGTTCTTTCTCTATAAAATGAAACTTGGCCAAACCTTCCTACGCGGTTCAATTATAGAGAAATATTTATTTTATTTTATGAGTGTCCCAAAGTTCCACTATGAAAATAAGCCACGTTAAAAAATTCACTAGAAAATGTCTGATGATGGCCGGACGTCGAAACTTTCAGGCGTGAAACCTTAGACCTTTCTCTATAAGATGTAAAAGGGCAGGCGCAAATCCCGATTATTGTTTTATAGTAGTACATAAATTAATTGCTGATGACACGAATGAAAGAAAGCTAATATCCAAAATGCTCCCGAAAAATCCCCAGAAATTATTTAATGGGGTGAGAAAATCGACACTTTCAGACTGAACACCACTGATATTCCACAATAAAAGGCAAAAACCTGCAAGTCTGTACATTGTTCAGTTATGGACAAATCGGCCACCAAGCACTTGAATGATCAAAGAAACGCAGTAAAAATCTTGCAAAATTCACCAGGCAATGTCTGATGATGACCGGATATCGAAACTTTCAGACGTGAAACCATAGACCTTCCTCTATAAGATGTAAAAAGACAGGCGCAAATCCCTGTTATTGTTCTATAGTAGTACAGAAATTAATTGCTGATGACACGAATGAAAGAAAGCTAATATCCAAAATGTTCCCGAAAAATCCCCAGAAATTATTTAATGGGGTAAGAAAATCGACACTTTTAGACTGAACATCACTGATATTCCACTGTAAAAGGCAAAAACCTGCAAGTCTGTACATTGTTCAGTTATGGACAAATCGACCACCAAGCAATTGAGTGATCAAAGATTCACAGTAAAAATCTTGCAAAATTCACCAGGCAATGTCTGATGATGACCGGATATCGAAACTTTCAGGCGTGAAACCATAGACCTTCCTCTATAAGATGTAAAAAGGCAGGCGCAAATCCCTCTTATTGTTCTATAGTAGTACAGAAATTAATTGCTGATGACACGAATGAAAGAAAGCTCATATCCAAAATGCTCCCGGAAAAGCCCCAGAAATTATTTAATGGGGTGAGAAAATCGACACTTTCAGACTGAACACCACTGATATTCCACTGTAAAAGGCAAAAACCTGCAAGTCTGTACATTGTTCAGTTATGGACAAATTGACCACCAAGGACTTGAGTGATCAAAGATTCACAGTAAAAATCTTGCAAAATTTACCAGGCAATGTCTGATGATGACCGGATATCGAAACTTTTACTACCGGGCAACTAACGGGTTTGTAGAGGGTTCTACAACCCTCTACGTTAGTTTATAGATATAAACTAACGAAGGTTTATAGAGACAAACTTTCTTCTTGGGCTGAGAAATGTTAGAAAACAAAACTTTGAACTATTGCCAGCTCCAATAAGGCCTCAAAAAGAAGGTCCTATTGTGAAACACTCTGTATAGGTATAGGTATTGGAGGTGAAATTGGACACTGTTGCTAGCTGGGGAGATTTGAATGTACAAAAGGGGCGAAAATAACCGAAAAATCCGCACCCAGACAAAAGACGCAAAGAAGTGGATGGTACGGCCAGAAAACGGCAACTAACAGCGATTAAAAAGTTAAGCAGGTCTTGCGGGGTAGCAGATTAGAGTGTTGACAATGTCGGCGATATTTTTGATAAGTTTTATTGTGCCAAGATAGAGACTCTATCGGGCTGTTGGGTCGCGAGGCCGCTTCCCATCGCTAGTCGAAATCCCGCTAATCCGCTGGCCGATTTTCGGGCCCAAACAGGCGGAAAATCGGCCATCCGACCATTTCCCAAATCGACATTTACAAGTGGCGACCATTTTGTTGTTTGTCATGTGAGATGGCGCAGACTGTAATTTTCTACGTGTGCGGCAGCCACCTGAACGGTTCGAGTGACTCTCAATAGCATTTTGAACATCAGCGGCCGCGAATCAAGAACTCGATTCGAAATTATCGGTTTTGGTGATTGCGTGTTTGGTGTTTGGTGCCGCTCCAAGAACAGGTAAGCCCCCAGATTAGCGGCGAATTTTTTCCACCCTCTTAAGCCCTTTGAACTGGCCCCATTGGCGCAGCGGCAATTAACCTTTTTCGTCCTCCCAAATCGGCTGTTTGGTTTTTTGATTAGCTGCATGAAAATGCAACAGAGGATTGGTTGGTATCCAAAAATCCTCCAGGCCAAGTCGACTTGGACACATAAACATTGACGTTCGATGGCGCATTTTTGCCAGCCAATCGCAACTCCCATAAATCAAGGGGATTAAGATCGGGAGACGCGCATTTCCATCAAAACATCAAAGGATCAATAGTTCCTTGCACGGTTTTTCCCTCAAGCTATGTTGACGACACATTATTCCTGGCATACGTTTTATTGCTCCTAATGGAACCATAGCTGGAAAAAATGAAACCGTCTGCGGACTCTGATCCTCAAAATGCAAACACGCCCAAGCGGAGCAAAAACACTGCTTTAGCTGTAGATAAATTGGCAATGAAATCTGCAGCAAAGTGCCTGATGATGGCAGGAAATCTAATCTTTCTTGGTCACTGCAGTGCACCTTTCTTAGCAAAAAAGCAATATCCGATCCACCAATTTTCTCTGTCCCTGATGCTTGATTCACTGCAGCTGATGATGACGGGAAATCGAAACGTTCCTGGTTTATACAGCGGAGTTTCTCCACTGCCAAAACTTGATCCTTTCACCCAATTTGCTCGGAAAAAAACAAATTCGAGTCCGGGCTTTTTCCTGCTGGGGTTTTTCTGTCTGTGATAGGAGCCCGCAATAACGTATAGGCGACAGGTTCACAATATCTTTTATCTGCTGATATTATTAATGCTCGAGTTAAATAATGTTAAATCAAATAAGATAATCGCGATCCGCACCACAGTGGTTCCCAGACGGTGTTTATCGACTTCATCATCTACCTGTTCTTTATCAATTTGGTAATTGATCAACAACAACACCGACGGCAATTTTGGCTGTGTGGTTAAAATTCCGGGACCACGGGTGCATACGGTCCAGGCCCAAACCAGCCCTGATTTGCCTGAGCCAATCCACGCACGTCTACAGGCAGGTTACCCGGACAACCAAGCCAAGTTCGGGGACAAGACCGGTTGCTCCATGCCAGCGAGTTTAGCAGTTTGAACGAGGTTTTTTTGGAGTAATTGATCCATCTAGATAATGAGCACATTAAACAAGCACCAGGCTTGAAGTGAAAAGCGATTATTCTGGCAAACGCTTTATTGACTGAGACAGTCAACACGATGAACAAATAAATGTTTTAAGTGGTAAACGAAGGATGTATTCAGCACTTTAAAACCTCTTCAAACAATGTAACTGTACACAAGAAAAATGTGGCTTTAGTGGAGCAATAAACCCGTGAATTTAAGGTTTTTGAATTATTCCCATGTTAAAAGTGTTATAAACGTAACACTTTTGAGGGGACTTAGTTTGTGGTTGCACAATGGGGAATTAGTTTTCGCTTATCTTCTGTTGATTGAGAGTGATTCATTCAATTGAGCCAAGTGTTTAGGGGGAAATTTCGGTCGATTCACTGCCCAACCCTGCAGTACCGATCCAATTACCAAGATAAGGCCAAAAAACAGGAAAAAACCGTTCGATTTTCGTCTCTACACTTGGTTGTTTGAGAGACACGCGCGGGAAACGGAAACACTATTCAAACATCAGCCGCCCGTTACACTTTCCGATGGTACAACGCGTTCGCACCTTCCACCAGGAAACCACAGCTGATCAGTTGGGCAACGTGATTGGTACCTGGGTGCCACCATGACGATTATTTGGTTTGGTCGGCTGCTTCTGGCCCATGAACTTGACAAATATTTGAGAATTGTCCCAACTATATCAGGGCGGGCTGCGGTCCCAGTTTGCGACAATTTTTTTAAACAGTCCGTTTTTTGGTTAACTAATGTGAGGAAAACCCGAAACTGCACCAACCATTGGGTGTAATTAGAGATTCCTAACCAGTAAAATGATAGAAGCAAAAATGGACTCAGTATCTCAGCAAAAGTTCCTAATATCCGATTAATTGTTAGGAGCTTTTTGATAGCTTTTATCCAGAGCTCTATACTGCTAATTGGGTTTCTTCACAAATTCCTAACCTCTAAGGAGATAGAAGCAAAGATGCATTGACTACCGCTTTAATCGCCCAAAAGTATACAGGGTGATTCAAAATTGGCGTCATTCCTTTTAAGGGGGATAGAGGCTCCCTTAGGGAGTACGAGAAAAATATTGAAACTTTTTTTTTCGAAAATTTCTAGAAGATATTAACAGTTGAAGATCGAATTCCAACTTAGTTATTAAACATTATTTTGAAATGGTTCCATGTTTAATTGGTAGCATATTGAAATACTTAAGCATTCAAAAAGAAAAATTACGATCTTTGCTTCAACTTACGAAAATTTTTGATATCATAAAAATTCTGTTCTACAATTTTTTGCAAATGCCCAGGCACCAAATAAATACCGGCTACATTCCTACCACGTATGTACGATACACACAGCACAAGGAGATACAAATGGAGCAGGAGTTAATTAACTGAATACAAGAAGCTGCTTGATAAGAGTGAATAATAAAGAGATTACACAGGCACTAGCTTGTTTGGAGTTGGCCATTCAAATGTTTGGTGTTGTAGGGTTTATTTATAAACACCCATATTCGGGGTTATGAGAACAGGTTGACATTTCGTCAACTAATCTTGTTGAATTTACCGTTTATCCTTGTCTATCTTATTGTCAGTCTGTATAATTCCATGGTTACCGGAGTTTTAAATAATTATTAAGCTACAGGTATTTGGGCAATGTTAATTAGGCAGATTACCTTGAACAACATTGCTGCCGTATTTCTGATATAGTTTTTTGCAAATTTCTCAGTTTTGAATAACAATTAATT